TTTTGCCTAACTTTACAATATGACTTTGTAGATGCATCTGCAAATCAATGTACATGGTCAAGATATATCCATTGCTTTGTGAATCAAATCTTTTTGCTGCCTAACTTTGCAATATATGAGTTGTTTCTGAGCAACATCGATAGGCTGATTGCACAGCCCAGAAGCCAGTTATTTTCAATGTCATGTCGAACAGGGCATTTTCAAAATTTGTTTATACATGTCATCATTTAACAATATGCAAATTAGCATGCGTGGATTGAAAATCGTCTCGCCATATTCAGACATCATTGAGCATTCTGGGAGCATTCTCCCAGAATGCACCAGTCAGTTACCAACGGCTGACTCAATAAATCAGAGAAGTGTATCTAAAATTGCAGACGAGTCAAAGCATATATAAAAAGTAGAATATGATACATTGAAAAAACACAGTCAACAAATAAGCCGCTCTCTGATTAGTCCGACTTGAAACATCACTTTATGTACAAGCCCTGAAGTTGTGTTTCACGTCAACACTATGTTAAATCAAAATGGCCTCCTGCAACTCAATCATATTTGGAACTTAGAATTATTTGCCACTCGTCCACAGCAGCATTACTGGTGCACTTTGCTTGTCTTCATTTTAAACACTGAAATAAAATCCAAAAAAAATGCCTAGTTACCCATGATGCTGTAGTGTTTCATCCAATCACATCCATCAGTGACAACATTTTGAATAATTTTGTTACTGGTAAAACATCAAAATTGAAAATGACCAATGACATGAACCGACTTCAAAATTGCTAAAAATGATTTGAAGTACATCTGGCATTACAATGGTTAATATTATTTAATCAACCCTGAACACAGACATTTCTAATAAATGCGAACACAGGGAATCATCTCTAAATATGCTTCATGTTAAAAAAACTACACTGAGGACAGTGTCAAAAAATGTGACAAGTTAACACCACATTTGTAGCTCCATCTCCAAATATGCCACAAATTAACAACAGAACCCCCCCCCCCCCCCCACCCCCGCCCATCTCAAAACAAGACAGTCCACATATGAACATTCTCTTTGGTAATGAACATTTAATGTGTTGATAAACATTGATTTTCCCACAATCCAATGCGCTCTTCTAATGGAATCACAAGCATGAGGTTTGACCTTGGCACGACTTGAACTGATTACCGCTGGTGACTCCTTCAATACCTTCCAATCACCAACAAAATTACCCAATTAAAGCTTGGTAACTTCTCAGTTTGTACTCTTCGATCTGCGCAACAGCCAAAGTCACCATCTTTGTTCGTATGAGACCCATACATCTTCGTACATGCATGATGGGACTACCACCCTTTAAATATAATGCACTGTCAAGTTTCCACCCTTGACTTGTTTACTGATGGCATAATTTAGAACAGCGCCCTCAGTGTCAGGTAATAATTTCCATATTAATGAACAAGAAACTGTAAATTAAATATTTTCAGTAAAATTGTTTAATATTTCCAAATTCTCTGAAGTTAATCACTCTCAATGATAAAGTACAGATGATATTTCAAAACACAACACAATGTAAAACAAAAAAGAAAGAAATATAGAAACCGAGTCGAGACTCCACTAGTGCACCATGACATTGAACTGACAATATTTGAGGATAGGCTGTTTGTGTATTAGGCATTGTCTCCTGATAATCGATCTTTTTGATGGAAAATGTCAAGCAATCAGATTGCAATAAATGTGTGCGAAAGGTTGGGCAGAGACCGTACTGTATATTTATTCTTAGTGGCAAGTTGATGTGAAAGTCGCTTTAGATTTATTTTGCAATTGCTAAATCATAATTAATATGCACTAAATAATGTGGAATAACAGTTCAGTGTTTACAAAATCTGATACATAACTAATAGACAATGAGCTGTTCCATTTGATATCACCAGCCCCTGTTGAGTTTCAATGGCAGATTTATTCTAGATTTTCAACCATAAAAACACAGGAAATTCAAGCTAGCCATGCAATTGAAATATACGGTCAGTGTGCAATTTGCTCAGAAACATTTTTTAGTTCTTTTTTGCAAGGCCTACATGTATATAGTTATCCATGGATTACCTCACCATATATTTTCCTGACACCAAATGTCAGACTTATGAATATGGGAGTGCAGATATAAAATGGAAGAGCCCACTATTATGAACGCATGATTTAGTGCAAGAGTTGTTTGACAATTTTTTTTTCCTTTTTATGTTAAAAATGCCATGCTCTGATGCAGCAAACAAATGTAGAAATACATTACAGTCTGAGCACAACTTAACATTGATTTTAGTAGTTAGTGCTTTTTCAAAACCCCCACGCATCTAAAATACTGTGAAGTACTGTAGAATACTTTATTTTCGCTTGAAATTTATTTTCGCTATTTTCGCTGAAGGGATGATTCTGTGAAAATAAAATCCGGCGAATATACTTTTTTTTCCTACATTTCACATTAAATTCCATATAAAACGCCCAAAAAGCCTTTTCAGTGAAAATTAATTCTAGCGAAAATAAAGTATTTTACAGTAATCAGCCCAAATGCATCGAATTCTAGTAATATAGGTAAGTAAAACAAAGAATAAGATGAAACTGACATTGAATCACTTTAAAAATTGCACAAGAAGAAAGCAAACTAGGGGGTTCAGTCAACTGTGCAATGCTTGTTAAAACAAAATAAACCTTCTCCCAAAGCGAGATCTCAGTAAGACCCACACAACTTCTTTTCCCTTCACAAATAGTAATCTACTTTCTGTCGTCATCAAGTCAACTATTTATTCACCTGTTGTGGATAAGCATGGTACTGTAGAATACTTTATTTTTGCTTGGAATTAATTTTCGCTAATTCCGCTGAAGGAATGATTCAGTGAAAATAAAATCCGGCGAATATATCATTTTTTCTATATTTTACATTCAACTCGTCAAATATCAGTGAAAATAAATTCCATACAAAACACCTAAAAACGTCTTTTCAGCGAAAATTAATTCCAGCTAAAATAAAGTATTTTACAGTATTTTGAACAGTTGACATGATGACGGCAGAAAATGAAACATTACTTGTGTGCAGAAACAAGTTGCATGGCTCTCAATGAAATGTCAATTTGCGATTCAGGTTTATGCAAACTTCAATAAAACACAGAATTTTATTAAAATCTGGTTTGACCATGAAATGAAAAATAAAAACAATACAAAACATAACACTGACAAACAAATAAAGTCTGTACATTCAAAGCTAATGAAAAAACGCCACAGAATTCCAGTATATTATATTTGAATACAGCATTTTCTTAGTGTCAAAAATTGAAACTCAACAAAGAGTGTACAGATAGAAAATGGAATGACTCACTGGAAATATTAACATACATTTAATATTATTATGAGGTGTGGTGAAATTATAAGAAATACTGTATACTGTAGAATACTTTATTTTCGCTTGGAATTAATTTTTGCTATTTTCGCAGAAGAAATAATTCAGTGAAAATAAAATCCAGCAAATGTACATTTTTTTTCTACGTTTTACATTCAGCTTGCCAAAAATCAGAGAAAATAAATTCCATACAAAATTTTGTTTAGCAAAAATTAATTCCAGCTAAAATAAATTATTTTACAGTAAGTAGAATATACAGATAGCTAGGGATGCTCTATTAATAACCTAAGAGCTAGGGAGTTCAATCACATATTTTACAAAGGTGAGAAAGCTCCAGAGGCTGACGTAAGAAATCAATTTTGCACCGACTGAGATTCATAAGAGTTACCGTGACTACAGACAAGTTTGGGGTTATCTGTTTGCTTGGCTACCTGATAACTAGACAAGAAGAATGAGGTTTTAAGACAAGAAATTTTAAGCCAAGTTTTGGTTTTGTAACCTCAATCTTAAAATCGACCCTTTTCAAGCATTGAATCTATACCATCACTGAAGACGCCAAGACCTTTACAATCATGCACAGCAAAGCCACCCAGTGAATGAAATTTAATGCAAATATTTGCTAAGATCTCATCGAGAGTGAGATTTGTTGTTTGCCCCTCAAATAGTGTACCATACTCCCTCGTCATCGTGTTCACTGTTCCAATAACCATAGTTACATATACCAGGGGAACAGGAGCAGCATAATGATGAAAAAGAATGAAACACTATTTGAAGTGTAAAAAACAAGTCTTGTCACTCTCCCAACTAGATCGACATCCGTTGGCATCAAGGGTCTAGTCATAGTTAAAGCGTGGTAGTCGTTGCGCTGCGCATGTGAGATATATGGGTCTTATATAAACAAAGATGGCGACTTTGACTGTTGCACAGATCAACGAGTACGAACTGAGACGTTTCCAGGTTTTAATTAGGTAATTTTCATGTGATTGGAAGGTATCGAAGGAGTCGCCGGCGGTAATCAGTGCAAGTCGCGCCCAGGTTAAACCTCATACTTGTGATTTCCATTTGAAGAGCGCATTGGATTTTGGAAAAATCAATGTTTATCAACACAAATGTCGAACATGCGCAGCGCGACGACTACCGCACTTTAAGCAATTACAAATGTCGTCATGTAACCGTAAACCATCTGAAGTATCGCATAATTACGGTAACTACCCAACATACAACTATCAAACTTAGCGTACTGTAAACCGCTTAATTTTTGCTGTGAGGAATTTCCACGATTTAACGATGCTCGTGAAGACTAAATTTTGAAAACATTGCATACCCTTAATGTCATATGACCCCACCCCCCAACCCCCACTCTCACATATTTTCACTACTACAATATTTCAGACCTTTCACCGAGTCATGAAAATATAAAGCGATACACAGTATACTGTAGAATACTTTATTTTCGCTTGGAATTTATTTTTGCTATTTTCACTGACGGGAAGATTCCGTGAAAATAAAATCCAGCGAATATACTTTATTTCCTATATTTCACATTCAACTCATCAAAAATCAGTCAAAATAAATTCCATACAAAAGGCCGAAAAAGCCTTTTCAGCGAAAATTAATTCCAGCGAAAATAAAGTATTCCACAGTATTACTGGGAAATACTTTGTTTTAGCTGGAATTAATTTTCACTGAAAAGACTTTGGATATTTTGTGTAGATTTTATTTTCACTCATGTTTGAATGTGAAATATAGGAAAATAAGTATATTCACTGGATATTATTTTCACTGAATCATTCCTTCAGCGAAAATAGCGAAAATTAATTCCAAGCGAAAATATAGTATTTTACAGTAACCTAGGCAACAAATTAAAGTGATTATTCATGTTACATTGTATGAATTTAGTCTCAGAGACTTCAGTAGGCTAATAGATTCTCGTCTAACCATTTCGTATCGCAGTATTGTCTATCTAGCCACGCCCCAATAACCCAGCAACCTGAGAGCTCAACATTCTCTGCACAGTAATGTCTACCTACTTTTCCGAATGCTCTTTAGACTTCGGCTTCGGCTTGGTTTGTGTTTTTCCGTAAACGCTGTCGACGCCAAGTCCAGCAAACACCATGAGGACGCCAAGCCACTGCCTGGCTAATAACGGGTTGACGAAGATGATAACAGACGCTAAAATGGTGAAGAACTTTCTTGTTGTCGTAATAATGGAACACATAAGGGGCCCATAAACGGATACAGTTATAAAAATGAATATCTGTTGAAAGATTGATATTAAAAAAAAATGAGAAACCAGGAAATTTCGGAACAAAGCATCGTAGGAAATAAATTTATATTTCAGGTGAAATCTTTTGATACCACAAGTTGTGCCCTCTAACAGAACAGATTTTATAAAAGTCTAGAGTCAAAATCCACGAAAATAAATCTGTGTCAGCGTGTTGACTACTAGGGAAGTTGAATGTCAAATATAGAAAATATGGTATATTCACTGAATTATTCCTTCAGCAAAAATAGTAAAAATTAATTCCAAGCGAAAATAATATGACAGAACCCCCACACCCTCCACGTGGCTTTCGTTGCATATGGAAGTTATTTTCACGAGTGATGCAGTGTATCCTGTGGTCGTTCTTTCAGGAGCGAAGCGAGTAAAAGTACAGCAGAATACATCACATCTCAATTATTGCATGGGTGATATGCAAATTAGTTTTTGTCAAAATAAGTGACTGGCTAAAGGTACCATTACTGTTGTTCAAATTTCATTTCACAGTATATTCATGTACCCCAAGAAAAAAATATCAAACTTTTTAATATTGTTTATTTCTGCTATGTTGCAAAAAGCAGTACTCCCAAAGGGACTACTCTGTTTGCTCTCAGACCTCATTTGCATATGGGATGTGGAAGTATCAATTTTGATTTCAGAGACGAATCAAAATAAACTGCAGTACATATGTAATGATGTATTTTACAGTAAGTGACTTGAGGCACATAGAAACAGCTTATAATTATATGATTTTTTTATTTTTTTACTTCTTAGTTTTCAAAATCACTTACTTAATGGCAATTGCAGAATAAAAATAAAAAATAGTCCACATTTGTTAATTAAAAAAATAAACAATTATTTATTTAGGGCTACATTTTTAGAAATAATTATAAATTTAATTTTAACATTGACAATATTTTTTTGTGTATCAGTGATTTTTGAAAAAGAACATTCAGTCTAGGTTTTGAAGACTATGTTTTAGGGAAGTTCACTCTAGTGTTCAAACAAAGTGCCCTAACCAGAGGGCACTAATGAAAATTTGCCTTTAGTTATTTTAGTGGGAAACTGAGATTCAGTTTCTGAAGCAGCAGTTATTGTCAGTTGTCAAAATTGCTTCACTTGTAAATATATGGTATCATTCAACCAAAAATTTCCTGGATGACACTAACTAATAAAACTGGTTTGACTTACTTGTCCTATGGCACTTGTACATCCAAATAATACCATTAGAGGAATCACATCAGGATGTCTTGAAACAAAGCCAAGAAACGGAATGGCTTCACCAGTTAATAGAATACCTTTGAAAAAATAAAATGAAAAAATAAATAAATAACTGTAAATAAATAAAGAAAATGAAAATTTTTTCGAGTTTAGTGTCAGCTGACCTGATATTGGTTTTACTGGGTGTGTAAAGGAAAGAGAATATTATTTTGTTAACTTTATATTACTAGGATTATTTTGTATATCAAAAATAACGCCCAGCAAATAATTCAGTCTTGTATTGTAAAAGTGTTAATGACTCAAAATTGCTCTATCCTTGGTGGGTGGAGCTACGTCACAAGACGTTCCACGTTGCTAAGATGTGCACCACTGTACATGCATTTCTATGGGCTCTGTGCACGCTGCTGTGAAACGCTTGTCGAGTGAAAATTCGAGAAAACACAAACTCAAAAGTAATCCTGAACAACCAAACGTATATATGTTACACTCGCAGGGGTAATCTTGTTACTCACACAGGGGAGTCTCAACAACCATCCCAAAGTACCACCCACCCCGCCTCAGAGTTTTCGGCCTTGGCAATCAACGCATTGATTGCCAGGTGGTGAAAATGCCCAGATGTTCGCCCATAAGGATTTTATCTTATAGTAATCCATTTCTCAGCACAGCGTCCTCTACATTAATATGTTACTGACACGCACGTTTTTTGTGGTCCAAGTAGTTATGCTCATTTCCTGATGTATTACACATTTCAGTACAATTTTCTGGCTTTGAACAAGAAATTAGTAATTTTGGGAAGATGGTGATAACAGCTCTCTATTGAAACACTGTGAAATACTTTATTTTCGCTGGAATTAATTTTCGCTGAAAAGGCATTTTGTATGTAACTTATTTTCACTGATTTTTGACGAGTTGAATGTGAAATATAGGGAAAAAAAGCATATTCGCTGGATTTTATTTTCATGGAATCATCCTTTCAGCGAAAATAGCGAAAATCAATTGCAAGCGAAAATAAAGTATTCTACAGCAGTTTATTTATACATGCTATTCCTAACAAAGTAATTTTATTCTTGACTTGGCATTAGCGACTATGAACATATCTAAAACTGTAAAATACTTTATTTTATCTGGAATTAATTTTAGCTAAAAAGACATTTTCAATGTTTTGTATGGAATTTATTTTCACTGATTTTTGACAAGTTGAATGTAAAATATAGCAAAAATTGGATACTAGTATTCACATTACTTCAGCAAAAATTAATTGCAAATAAAGCATTCTAGAGTAACTCTAGTTTAGGTACTGTAAAATACTTTATTTTCACTTAGAATGAATTTTCGCAATTTTCGCAAAAGGAATGTGTCAGCGAAAATAAAATCTAGCGAATATACCTTTTTTCCTATATTTTACATTGAACTCGTCAAAATTAGTGAAAATAAATTCCTTACAAAACACCCAAAAGATGGTTTCAAGCGAAAATTAATTCCAGCTAAAATAAAGTACTGTGGAATACTTTATTTTCGCTGGAATTAATTTTCACTGAAAAGGCTTTCTGGGCGTTTTGTATGGAATTTATTTTCACTGATTTTTGCTGAGTTTAATGTGAAATATTTTCACAGAATCATTCTTTCAGAGAAAATGGCAAAAATAAATTCCAAGCGAAAATAAAGTATTCTTACAGTATTTGACAGTATCAGGAAAGATTGACCTATGACCTATGATCCTTACCTACAGCCAAATACAACATAGACCATAGATTCATGTTGAACATCATTGGATGTGGTGCAGTCTTATGTTCACTTCTCATTCGTTCCTGTATTGCCCCAGTAGCACCATCCAGAGTCAGTGATAGTATCTTAAAAAGAAAAAAAAAAAAAACATT